AAATAAAATGGTATCAATGTTTAAGCGATTTGCATATTCAGACATCTCTACTTGACAAGATTGCATGTATATCCACCTCGTTGTCAAACGACTCGCTTCTCAAAACTATGGAGTCAATAACAAGGTTCTTTGAAGATCATTTTCAAATCAACATTTTTTTGTCGTCTATGTGTTACGTTTTCCTTTTGAACAAACACATAATTTTTTTAAACGTTTTAATTTACCAGCTTTAATAGTCGATTTGCTCAGAATGAATGAAGCCATTGTGCAACCTAACAGTAGTGAACATCCACACGCTTGGCATTTCATATCTAAGTCGTTGCTGGCGACTTTAGCTTTTATATTGCGTCTTGCCGTTGCGATTTCATCTGCGAGATTTTTCACATATCTTGTGTTTTTTAAGGTTATCGGACGAAAATATTGCTGTAGCAGCAACGGGCCGAGATTGTTCGCTGTTTCCCCTTGCAATGCTTCTTCGGTTTGCTTCTCTGAATCTCCATCGTCAGAAAGTGTTTTGGAGTCGGGTCACTTCTCACTTTATCAAGGTGTGCGTTTGACTTTATGACAAATCCTTAAGGATTTTTTTAAAAAGTATTACAGATTTGTGGTCACACAACCGCTTCACTTCGCGAATGGGCAGCTGTTGCTCTTGCAAGCATAATCAAACAAGCCTTTAAAGCGAAAACTGAGATGAGTGTGGAAGTGGGTCTAGTACTTGTTTACTTTCATTTGAATACCTGTCTATGTGCTTGTGATGTGCTTTTAAAAACAATTATTCACATCACAGATATTGAATTCTATCTAAACCAAGAAATGTAAATTGGGGTGTTCTATCAAAAATTGTGACTTTGCGCCTTCCATCCCCTTGAACAGCTTCTTTTTCTATTACTTTTCAATCGTATTGATGCATTTTAGGAACATCAACAGCTTACGCTTTCTACGTTACGCTCTTTGTGCTCTGTCCACCAAGCTGATGTACAGCGACGCCAACTGGATTGTCTCATGGCTTTACTCCAAACGGACGGTGCCCAGCTAGTTCGCGATATGTGGCAGCATGTAGTTTACATCGTTGCTGCTGTCGTTGATGAGGAAAACTGGTAGCGTTTCTGATTCAGATTTGCATCTCTATTTTAATTCAGTGCGAATTTAGCTCCGATGAAGCCCTGGTACGACAGGGCTACCTTGGGCTGAGACTTGTGGCAGCTGATTTTCTACAATCGCTTCCTTTCGAATGTGTTTCTGCTCTCGTAGAGGCGGTGGCACGTTATGGAAAACAGATGGCCGATCACAATATTTCACTATCTGCACTCACTCAACTGGTTTGTCAGTTTTACTTGTATAGGAATTACTTTGAATTTCTTATTCACAGTGGACAATTTCTGACTTTGTGTTTCGAAAAAGTGAGGAAGTTGGAGCCGATGCCTCTGAGAAGGTAAATCGATTATTTTCAAATTGTATTTTCTGATTACAACTTTGTAACAATAGCTCTATAGGTGTGGCTAGTGTTGTATACATGCCTTTCTGAACTTTGCACCGATGTACGGCCTTCAGTACGAAAAAGCGCATGTCAAACGCTGCTGCAAACAGTAGCATCTCACGGACATGCACTTCGTATTGGGACGTGGAATCATATGGTTTGGCAGGTATGATATCTTTTGACTTTGATTCACTATTTAGTTTGAAAGTGCATTTGATTTCATTTTATGCTTCTAGAGAAATCGTCTAATCCTTCTATGAGAATTTAGTTTAATAGTCTAGTTATTCGAAACTGTTTTGTGTGAAGAATATAATGTTTGGTCAATTGTCTTGGATTAGTTTACTTTAACAGTATTTGTTCGAGTCCATGTTAGAACGCTCTGCGATGTAATCTGTACACACTATCAGCAGCAGAACTTGGAGGAATGATGCCCATGAGTTTGAGGTTCCATTATTTAGATAATCATGCCGTTATTGGATCGTGTTCGGGTGCAGACAAGGAGTGCTTCAACAGAGCGAGCCAGCGGTGCACTACTTATGCATCACTCTCGTGACACTCAGCAAAAACAATGGACTGAAACGTGCATCCACACGCTTTCGGCTGCTTCAAAAATATTCATTGCTCAACGTAAAGCCCTTTTGTCACTAGGTAAGCTATCCTTTATGTATGCGGATTTCAAAGTCACTGTGGATTGTTTAGAAGATTTTGGTTCGGCATGGGAAGCTTTGTTGTCCTATCTGGAATGGGCTGCATGCTATCATAACGCAGAATTATCTCTGTCTGCCATTAAAAGCTTCCAAGCAAGTATTCCTCCTTATCTTGTGTAGCAATCACTTAATATTCGTTTTTAAGGAAGTTCTACTGGGCAAAGTGTCTGCACAAACTCTAGACATCAACACGCGTGAGAGAGCTAGCAGGTAACTTAGCCGCAAGGGATGATTTTTCGCGGCAATTTGTAAAATTCAACTAGTCTTAGACAATTCTCTGTGTATATATTGAATTTTTTGCTTTGCCTGATAGTCAGAAGTGCTTAAAAGATTTATATTATTTAACCGCTCAAACTTGATGCTTCTTGTTTCCAGCGTAGAGAATTCGTTAGAAGACGCCACTCCATACCTTCCTTTACCGCAATGGATAGAATCATGGAATGTAAGCTCAATCACATTTGCTTGAAAAATCCACATAAATCCATGTTCCAGTCTCAGTGATATTTCCATTAAACTATATAGTCATGTTCACATCTACCAATTTGACATGCTTTTCGAATTTCGTTGAATTTTTTAGACATGGCAGAGGATATCTCGCGGATTAGCACGGATGGAGTCTGGAACATTGTTACCGGATGGTGAGTTGGTTTTTGAAGAAAAAATCTGGTCCATCCCTCGAGATATTACAGATATTGTTATAGACAAAGCACCTTACCTTCCTGGACCGTCTCATCTGACTACACTTTTGCATATATTTCCTCCATTATTTGAACATGTTGCTCGGCACATAGCTGTTGATGAACTCAAAGCTGAACAGCTTCCTTCAGTCCTGGAAGTAAGAAGTTTTGCTAGTCTTAGTGTTTCATTCATATAAGCTAGTCTTAGAGCCTGATAAATGTTCCCGTACCAAGCGAGCAGGCCCCATTCGTCATGCAGTCGCTGCACTCACACATGTCTCCCACCCAAGAGGCCGTATGCGAAGCGATACGATCTATCTATAATGTAGGCTTAGTTATGTTCAGTCTTTGAGAAAATGTAAGTGATTTTTTGAGAAACTATAAGTAGTTCTTGCAGGAGTGCACATCACCAGGAAGTCCATTACGCGATGCATTAGCTGATCAAATCCGGCAACTTCTCAGGTTTAGTGGATTGGCTTTGAAAAGTCCAGCTGCATTGCGACCATCTGGTATGACATCTTCTGGACAGAAAGATTACGTGAGTTTCCGTAAGTTGGACTCCAACAAGGCGGACTATTTTGGAACATCAGGAGTAAGATAGTTAATGTAGGGCTGATAGAGGTTCTGATTAAACCTTGCCCATTTTATTCATATATTGGGACGACTGGAGTCTCGATCTGCCTTCTCTGTAATGAGAAGTTTGTCTGTGCGCATATATGCTCATAGTTTATCAAATGCATCTCAAACTTTTCCCGTCGAACATCAGGCATTTCGTCCACGTAGTGGAATAAGATGGAATTTCGCTTTGATTTAATATGATTTAATCGTTAGAATTTGACAGCAACTCATTAAATCTTTGTTCAGCGAGAATGGGCTCTGCAGTGGATCATACCTTTCGCAGAAACCTGTCTTCGTATGGCAGTTGAATTTCTTTCAAATACAGCGGCATATCCGGAAATTATCCGTTCACTCGTTGTCGTAGATGTTGTAAAGGTTAGTGTAGCCAAGTCTACTCGTATCAATAATTCCAGTCTTTTAGTTTTTGGGTGAACCGCTGTACCTGAAGTATTCATGCATATCTCCAACTACATGGAAGCTTGCCGCTTCTTCTTTGATAACGGTGTTGCGGATAGCAGTTCCTTTAGGAAGGCAGAATGGTATATTTCCAGTTGACAAAATGAATGATTAGTTATTACTGTGCTGATTCAGTTGAGCACTTTGAGTCACTCTGGCCTGCAATTTGTGACACTTTGGAAAAGTTCCTGTTTACTCCGAAGTCCGTTGTTGACTTTTCAAATGTCATTTTATTAGAAGTATGGAAGGTTACTTACTCATTTAGTGTTTGCCCTCGTCTTGCCGCTGATGAACGCAAAAGAGATGAGTTGGCCGAGTGTCAAATCATCGAACTAGTTCGATCTGAACTGTTGCTACACTCCTCTACTCTCCCACAGTCCATGATCCAGCGCCTCATCTCAATTTTGAATCGTGGTTCCATTAGTCAGTTAGACCCAACAGA